TAGGAGTTCATCGATGACTGTGATATTGCATATTGCTGTCTTAAAAGTAGTTGCTCAGATGACCAGATACGGGCATGTAAAAATAGTCAGAGAAAAAAAAATAAGCATTAACTCTTCCTTTCAATAAACCTACTTTGACACCATTCAAAAAAGTCTACCATGAGTATTTATGAACAGCTTTATATGCAAATATAAGCGTTAATGTATTTTGCGTAGTTGTCCTGGTAGGATGCACTGACATTGTGGTGACTGTGTTTTGTCTTTAAAGAACTCGCCAGGCTCTCTCCTTTCCACCAGCAGTGCGTACTCGACCCAGTCTCTAGGCAGGCTTGCTCACACTTACTGTCATTGCTGTGTTTTACTGGTCTATAATTTAAATCCACTTCTAAACATGACACAGTCCTGACCTTCTGAGTATATGTAATTATACATTATATTTAATTTTAGAGTCTCAGTGTCAAAGTAGCACATAAAGGCCAGACTGATGGTATGCAATTAGAAGTTCACATATATTTATGATCTGCTAATTAGGGCTGTAAGGAGAAATTGTCATATCAATTCTAATAAACATTTAGCATTCTTGAAGACACCAAACTGTTCTTTTGAACTTGTGTTTAAATTCCAGTATAAAAGTACAAGTTTTGTAGCTGAATCGAGCCATTAAAATAATTATTAAAATTCAAAAGAATACCAGAATAGATACATAACACATAATTATATATAGGCTTACTTAGTTATTCAAGTATTTTATTTGAGGGTTGGGGAGATAGTTTGGCGGAATGAGTGCCTGGCTGGCAAACACAAGGTCCCACGTATTCGATCCCCAGTACTGTATGTCGTGCTGGTCGCCAGATCCCAGTAACATGCTGGCCCCAGAACTGGGCTTGGTGGCGCACTCCTGTTGCGAGAACTTGTACCAAAGAAAAGATAGAAGAGATAAAACAAATTAAATTAAATAATAAATACAAGTATTCTATTTGACATGCAAGACAGTATGTAGAACTTTTCTCATTGCATAAAATAAAATATAAACTATGACTTATTAGATAACTCAGGAGGGACATTTTGTGAGTAAATAAAATGTCTGTTAGAATTTTATAATAAAGTTGAATATCCATTAATTGATGGTCTTTATTTTACACTTATGCAAGTTTTCAGTTAGGAATAACTGAAATAAACAGTTGTATTTAGTTATGCAAATTGTATCATAATTTATAAGCAAAAAGAAACCAACCTAATAAATCCATAATTTTATCAGCTAAAATATAGCAAGTTGATATAAACTATTTTAAAATTTGCTTTAATATTAAAAATCTAGTTTCTTGGGTATATTATATAATTAATATTAGAAAGCTAATTATATACGTTAGTAATGCAATTAATTAACAATATAAATAATATAAAACAATATAACTTAGGCCAGTTTTGAGATTCATTAATTATACATATAGATAAAATATCAAAAGGATGTGGATGATGAAAAATTATTTGAGTGGGCTGTTCTGATGTCACTGAAACCGTAATGTCAACTTATTTATCCTTCCAACTTATTTAAAAACTATTCATTGTACAGGTTGAAAAGTTACAAGGGATGCCATGTGCACCCTGGACTTAGCCAACGGTTAGTATCAACTTCATTGATGACCATCAACCCGGGCTTATTCTGATTAATACAAGAGCCCAAAGGGGCCCTTTACCATGTTACTGAGGCATTAAGGTTTCTGAGACCAAGTGTTCTGGTTTTTTGTTTTTGTTTTTGCTTTTGTTTTGTGGTACCAGGGATTGAACTCAGGACCCTGGGCTTGCCAGGCAAGCACTTTTTCTACTGAGCTATCTCCCCAGCCCCAGCTATCTCCCCGGCCCCCTGTTTTGTGTTCTTTCAATAGAGTGTGTGTATGGCAGAGAATGAAAGAAAAAATGATGTTCAAATTTAAAATTTTAGGGCTGAGGACGTAGCTCGGCAGTCTAAGTGCCTGCCCAGCAAGCGCAAGGACCTGGTTTTGATTCCAAGTACTTCATGCCCTGGTGGCTCTAGAGCCCCGAGTGTGTCATGCATTCCACCGAAACCGGGCGTGGTGGTGCACGCCTGTAATCCCAGCACTGGGGAGGCTGAAACAGAAGAATCACATGA